AGAGTCAAAAATTGAGGAGTCAGTATCTTCGAGCTTACAATTATGTGACACTTCACAAAAGAATTCCAAACTAAAAGAAAATACAGCCACGGCGTAAGTAACTACTCACGGCTAAGAAAGAGAGAAAAATAGGGAAAAAGGAAGACGCGTGCCTTTTGTCTATCCAGGTGATTCATGATGTGGTCATACTCTTGAAAACGTAAGAAGAGAAGCATCTTGAAAGGGACACCAGAGTCGCTGTCAGAGATTACTAACCGAAGGATCCTCTTAACAACTGCTGACCGAACCATGGGCTCGATACAGTGGATACGTCTCGAGAATACGGACCGTGAATACGAGTCGTGGCACGCTCGTAAAAAGGTGAGCCGGTGACAACCGCTATGACGCAAAATTTACGACCCCGAGGTCGTAGCCCAGGTCGAATCGTGAACACCGCGGGACAAGTTGTCGTTCACGTTAGCAAAAACGTCCTCTATTGCTGCTTCACCTCCGGTGCTCGCGCGTTCATTTCAGAAAGAGAGACCGTGCTGGTCAACGTTCGTCTCCTTCGGCCAATTTATTTCCCGGATACGGACAGTGCGCCGCGTCGAAACGGCGAGCCAGTTAGACGACATATCGCACCGAAACGTACGGTCGTACTAGGATTTTTGAATTGCAAACGAAGAATTTCGGTCACCGTAGTTAATGCGGTAGCTGTGTCCCTCGAAAGATTAAGACACATTTAAGATGGATGATGTGACAAATCTTTGATTTATGGTTCCACCGTAATCGACTCGTGGAGAGATAATAATTCGTTAGAGACTCTCGTGTAGCCGTTCACATTGTCGTTCGAGTCCATATGAACGTGACCAAGCCTTCACCATTTACAGCAATCATATCAACATCAAAGCGTCATAGCTGCCGTGTTGTCTGGTATCTCATTAATATTTCAATTACTGCTTCCTATTTGCAATTCACTGACCCTGCGAGTATGAGTAATAACGAGCTGCAAGTTTGTCGTTATCTATCTCGTTATCAACATTTCGGTCAATGATACCTGGCGTTTCCATCCAATTTCCGATTTATCATAGTAGTATAATGATTATCATCGATATTTTTGTTTCACGACGTGGCAATGTGCCGTTATGAATTATGCAGGATTACGATGTTTGCGATATCGTTCGAATATTCCATTACATGGACGAGATATATGCCTGTGATTACAAATACACGATCGGTAACTTTTCATCGGTGGGTTGCATCAAGGTAGCTGAGATTCCTTATTATTATTGAAAAAATTCAAACATTCATCGTTTCGTACAAGTGTTACGTAGCATACATATACGTGCACAATTCATTATGTAGCTCTGATCCGTACCGTTAACTCGGTGAACAAAGAATCGTGCGAGCAACTGATATTAATTTCAATGGAAGAGTATTTTATGCTTGTTGCGCTTCGAGAATTATTCGACGCCGAGTCGTACGGTTTTCAAAAGAGTGGCGTCTTGAATTTAAGGATCTTCCACGCACGGAGGAAACCTTAAACTCACTTCGCCAACCTCCATGCGATATTTTAAGGTTCGCGCCTTTTTTTTCATTCGCGGGACATCGGGAACTATACTCCGTGGTGGCGCACACCGAGGATAAATCGTTCGTGAAGACTGCGAAGAAAATTCGAGAGCCCACTGGGTCGATACGAAAAATGACTTTCTTCTCCCCTAAATTGGATGCGGGTCTCCGTTTAATCGTTTCCATGTACGTTTAATATTATCATGTACAGTTATAGCTGGACAGTTGATCGTTTCAATGTTATCAGTTAGAAATACTGTTCTAAATAAATGTTTCTTTCATCCTTTAATTAATTGACCACGGTAACAGACTATAGGTACGCACAGAGGGCCGCCAAAGCCTTGCCAGAGGAATTAAAAACATTTGTCATCTATTAATTAAGCGATTAGTCTACCATCACTAACGAGAGGCTAGCGTGCGATGGAATTTCTTTACTGCGTCTAATGCCGCCGGGCAAATTCTAACCAACGCCGCGCCGCTCCAATCCGAAGCAATCGAGATAATCGGATTCTAATTCGGTGGATAGATTAGATCTCAATTTCTCAATTACCCCCCGATCTATTACATGGTATTTCACACCATAAATTGGAAATTTCGAAAGATCGGACGCTTTGTTGCATGCGAAATTACCACGCAATGACGAAGCAAACTTTTCCTTTAAAATCGTAGAAACAACCAAGGAGTAAAGTAAAATAATAATGAAATAAAATAATTTTTATTTCAAATGCATTCGAATGCCAACGATTTCCATGATTTTCGAGCGAAACGACAATAAAATAGGATCGAGTCGTTCCACGAATTGTCCCATAGGAAAAATGTTCGATTTACGTCGATTATTTTACAGGCAGTAACGCGTGCATTTACGATTGTTGTTTCGAGGATCTACAAAGCATTGTCTACCGATAACAGAACGTTTCACGTGGTCAGAAGGGCCGGCAATCGTTACACTTTATGTCTGTATATGTATTCAAATGGGACGCGTGGGTGGCAAAGAGAAAAGACGCAGGTAGATTCTCAATAATATACGACGCGTTGCACGCTTCGTACAGGTTGATAGACGCCAAGTACTCGGATCAAAGCGTGGATATAAGAATACCTTTCCGGAGAATCGTTGCACGAAGCAACGTACCGAAAAGCACGTGTATCTGGGGAAATTTGTATTCGCGAAATTTTTTCACGGGCCGCGTGGGTGCCTCACGTTCTGCTTTCGCAAGACATCCGTTGCAATCGCGACACGGTGAGGCACCGCCCCCACGATTTTCTTCCGTACCACCACAGGGAGGAACCCTAAGAGTTCTATGAAGAAAACATTATAGCGCTAAATTTCGCGTAGGTTGCATCGTGTCGCCCGCGAAACGTGGCGCCACCGTGGCGGGACAATCCGCGTTACACCGATGCCACGCACTCGTTTTACAACTTGCACGCCACATTTCTACATGTTACACTTCCACGTAAAGCCCGTTTATCAAACCGTTACGCAATCCTGTCGCGAAATTGATCATACAAATGCTCCGTTACCAGCCATTATTCCATTCTTCGAAGCGTGGGTCGAGAGCAAGCCCGATTCAGTAATTCCCGGCGCAACGGGATTTTTCATCCCGGGCTTCGATGAATAATGTCCTCCAATCAGATCGTACCGCGTGCCTCACAAAAGCCGATTCAGCCTGATAAAATTATCAGAAAGAAAGATGATGGCGATTTCGTCGATAATGGACAACGAAGAGGTACCGTTGCGGCCGCATCGTACTCGTTGCGGATCAGGGTGAGGGTGGCGTGATCATGATCGATGTAGATCATTCCCTCCTTCTATCCACGGCGATTCATACCCGCTAGTCTGGTATGTCTTCGGCGATATGTATGCACGTGTATTTGTAAATGCACGTATATATACCAACTTGTTCGAGGTGATCTGTTTCCGGGTCACGCTATGACAGGTTGACACTAGAAGGTATCTATACGCCATTGTCTCCTATCCAATATCTCAGTTATCGGTTAGCATTGATTTGTGAATTATCGATAAATATTGAACTCAAAGAAAGAGGTATGTTTCATGTTAATTCCCACAGATCGCAAGCAGCCGTGCGAAGAAAATATCCAACACTATCGACCAATAGATATTGTCCCAATTACAATTCCATACGTATTTCAAACTTTTACTGTTTCCAAACAGTAAAATCCAAAATGAAATTTGGGGAACAGAAGAAAGCGGAGTTACGGTTTTATAGCTATTTCGAAACAAAGTTTGATTTCGCGTCCATTGTATTCTCATGTACATTAAATGTTTATTCAATTTACCATTAATCTCGACATAGAATATGAAAATAAAGTTTGAAAGGAAAAATTTTCTTGAAATATTTAAAAAGAAAAAAAAAAGAATTAAAATCTAAATATGTCTCGTAAAAAAATAAAATTCAATATATATTGCTCAAGAAAGTCAACCAAGAGTAAATAAATATGAAAAAACATATCACAACTATTTCAAACCGAATTTAGTATCTTTTTCCTACTATAATTTAATGCGAAATCAACAATCATTTGCAACGCTAATACAAACCGTGAAATTTGGACTATATCGCAACACTAATTCAAACCGATACTGATCATTCGCAACACTACTAAAAGAATTTACCAAACGTAATGATGTGATTGCCAAACGAGCTGTACATTGACAAGAAAAAGAAAATATAAAAAGCAAAAAAGGACGAACATAGTGACAAAGCAGTAACAATAATGACTTCTTATTCTCTGGATAATCCAGAAGATAGGGAATTATTAGTAATTGCCCTCTTCTTTCTTCAAATGCAATGCCTGCTGAAACTTACATCTAGCTCGAGTCTTTCTAATCGCAAACTAAAAAATAACTTATAAAGGTGAAATAAAAAGATAAATCGCGGAAATTGGTCCTAATATACATGGAGGATCATCGAGCACAATGATCGCTGTCTGTTCGCATGTGCGTGCTCGAGCAATACCTACATAAATGTTCGTTTTAGGACCTATTCGCGACCTATTCGCGATCGCGACCGCGATTCGAAAAATCCAAGAGTAAAACCAAAAACAAGTGGCATGCTCCATTTGTACCAATTCACTGTCAATTTTTCAAATTGGATTTTGTACGGATGGATAGTTTATCTTCATAAATAATCAATCAGTACGTTCTGATCTCAATATTATATTATTCAAATCAATTCTTTATGTTCATTGTATTAATGTGATAGTCATAATAATTATTATTAACATTTAAAAATGCAATGTACAAGAAAACGTATCCTGAACTAATAAATGGTAGGAAATAATAAGGAAATGTTACTCCTTACAGGTATAATAAATATCTGTGATCACTATGTTCGTCAAAAGTTCTACGTAATACAACTAGTCACCCGTGTCGATTCGGACCTTTCATCCTACGACATGATTGAGTGACTAGAAGAACAAAAATATGTATGACTCACCATCAGGTACCAAGCACATTATCATCATTGTTGTACCAGCACTAAGAAAGTCGTCGTCAAGCAAGAATCATCAGATTTCGTGGTAGAAGTGGAGATAAAAATCCAAGTTTATACCTTAAAAACATAAAGTAAATTGTTTAAAAAAATTACTTAAATTTGAAGCAAAAATATTCTCCAAATTTACAGTTGAATTTCAATAATAATTACAATAAAATATAAAGAACTAATTAAAAGACTATATGCAAAATACTTACATTTTTTTTCCATTTGGAGCACAGTTAGACCATCCATTTATGAAGATAAGAAATTGTAATCAATCTTTAACAATATATAAAGTATATTATCATTTATTTTCGAAATATAATTAATTAGAATACTACATACAAAAATACTTACGTCTAACACTTTGGTAGCTCAACTGGATCTTCTCCTTGGGATAGGGAGAATTAAATACTGCAACAGTCTTTAATAATAATTGTGAAATATTATTATTTGTTGTTAAACTAGAATTAACTAAAGTACAATAAACAGAACAAAAAGTATAAAAATAGTTAATGTTCAAATTTATGTGTATTTTGTCTGCATTTATAATTTTAATTTATCCTGAATCGATAACATTGGTAGTGATGTTTGTTACAACTGGCAAATACGCTTTTACCAATACTCGATTATTCAGAAAACTTATTAACATTTAATCAATATTAACAAGAATTCTCTCTTACACAAAGAACATCTATAGTATCAGAAATTTTAAAACAAAAATATATTGAACACACATTATCGATGCAGCTGATTGGCATAAAAATAAAATCAAATGTTTCTTCTCCAAGATTTCTTTTCAATAAAATTGTCTTTAGCCTACAGAAAGTTCTACGAGAAAGAGAAGAGAAATTTACAATATTTATTATGCTGTAAGGTAAATTAGTCAATGATACAATTTATAAATTCCCCATTCTGAACGATAGAGGGCATGACAAAACCACACACACAGACGAGATGTACAACCTCGTCTATGTTACAGACCAGGTTTAGGATTTTATTGATTTTTTACACAATCGGTATTTCAGGACACGTAATACGAAATCCTACAAGGTATTCGATCTAACCTGCATCTCTTGTGTACATCATACATGAATGATGTAAGTTATCGTGTGTCTATTTTTAATACTGACTTTTACCAGTTCTTTCAAGCACGCTTGCGTTAATGTTGGTATACATGGATGTTCATGTTGTTCATAACACAACTACGCACAGTAGATGAGGTCATATACCTATCCGCTCGTACAGGTGGTTCTTCCTTCATTCACGCCGTGCAGTCACTCCGCGAAGTGAGTGCATGACGTTTTTTCTCAGGGAATCTCAGTTTAATTTTTATTAGTGCATCTCGTCATGATGATCAATAACGCGTTAAGTATTAGGTATTCAGTGACAATCATACTAGTATTCACAGTTATAGCTACATGTAGTAATTATACAAATATTGATCTGCCGTCTGATCACATCAAGTATTACTTCAACTCTTTTCCCACGGTAGCTGAAGAATGCCGCAATAATACTGCTTGTCCGTACAAGGTAATGCACGATATATTAATAATATGATTATGTCAAAATATGTCGATTAAAGGGGTAATGATACCTTTTTCGTTGTTTATGCGAAAACAATATGATAATCATGAAAGCATTGGAGATGCAAATAATTATATTAAACTCTAATTTACGAAAAACACTAACAAGAAATTCTTGGAAAAATTTAGGATAGCCTTGATACCAAAGCTTGTTGGGGTTACGAGCCGGATTGCAAACCCGAAAATTCTTTTTCCATTCCTCAGTGTCCAGGTGATCACAGGGGATGGGTGACAACGAAAAAAGCACAGATAGAAACGTTTTACGCTCAAGGCGATTTTGGCTACGTACGTGATCAAAGGAAAGAAATGTCTATTTTTTGTGAACCATTGTTTGTGGTAAGTCTCATTCAATTACAAGAAAAACATGATTTTTTTTCTATTTTTATTTATAATACTTTCGAACATAGGACGACTCATCTTTAGAGTGCTCAGAACATATGAGATTTTGTCGAGCAAGAAACATAATGATTAATTTCACGGACTTAATTCGAAGAAAGGAACCCATACGATACAAAATGGATGTTCTGAAAGAGGGTCAAATTGGAGGGTACTGCACGTGAGTAAAGCAATCTATTAATCAATTACTTTTAATTACACTTAATATTCATATCATTTCGTTTGTACAGATTAAATGAAAAAATGTTACAAGAAAACGCGGACCATATCAGTCCACTGCAATCTTGGGGACCTGAATTACAAAATTTTCGCAAATTACCTCGACCGCCAATCGTCAACCACGACTGTGATATTGTGATCGAAAAGCCAACGTTCATAATGAAAATAGACGCTAGTAAGTCGTAAGAAATGATTCTCACGATTAATGACTGTGATGCAAAATTCGTCGAACACGCAAGTCGTTCTGTTTCAGTAGTAAATATGTATCATCATTTTTGCGACTTTTTCAACTTATACGCGTCATTACACGTAAACCTCTCGCACCCCGCTGCATTCAGCACTGATAATCATATAATGATCTGGGAAAGTTACAGGTAAATGACCAGTGCAATATGAAAATCACGAGATACTAGATACAACGAGTCCTCTCTCTTACTTTCAGATATCGTTCAGCGTTCCAAGACGCCTTTGAAGCTTTCACAACAAATCCACTTTGGGATTTAAATACATTTCGCGGAGAGACCGTTTGCTTCAAGAATCTTGTGTTTCCCTTATTGCCACGGATGATTTTTGGTCTTTATTACAATACACCACTTGTACGATTGCTCACTTTTCGTTTTTTCAACTTAAGATCATGCAATTGAAATAATTTTTATCATAATATGCTTCCAGATTTATGGCTGTGAGAACAGTGGGTTATTCAAGGCTTTTGGAGATCATGTGTTACATAAGTTACGAATACCTCTTCATGAAAGAAAAAACGAAAGGATACGAGTTACTTTACTTAGCAGAGATACTCAATATCGAAAAATTTTGAATGAGGATGAATTAACGAAGGCTTTGAAGGAAAATCCAGAGTACAAAGTTAGAAAGGTAGGAAGCTTCTAAATATATGATATAAGGAATCTCTTACGATGAAAGGCAATTAAGTAAATATAATCAGAATATAATTAAAATATGTTTGCCTGTTTAGGTAATTTATAATAAAAAAGTACCATTTAAAAAACAATTGGAGATTACAAGAAACTCTGATATTTTTATTGGAATACATGGAGCTGGATTAACGCATCTTATGTTTTTGCCAGATTGGGCAGCAGTATTTGAGATGTAAGTATAGATGAACATGTCTTCCCACAGAAATACATCTTATACATAATTATTATGCAGATATAATTGTGAAGATCCAGGATGTTATAAAGATCTTGCTCGTCTACGCGGGGTAAAGTACTTCACGTGGGAAAATACATCAATGCTAGTGCAACAAGATCCCGTAAGCAATTGTATCTCGAAAAAAAATTTTATTTAAAATTTATTATAAAACTAATCGAAATTCTGTACAGGGTACACATCCGGATGGAGGAGCACACGCAAAATTCACGAATTATAGTTTTGACGTTACAGAGTTTTTACGTATAGTTTCACAAGCTAGGGATTACGTAAAAAACCATGATTCATTTAAAAAATTTATCAGTATACAAACGCAACGCAAAACAAAGCACGTTGGAAAAAAGAATTATACTAGGACAACAAATGATATAAATAGGAGTGCAACTCCTAAGTCAAAAGAAGTAACTGAATTAAAATCTGACGTCCAATCCAAAGATGAATTATGATAAATAAATAATAGACTCCATAATTATTGATATTAATAATGAACGGACAAAACAATTTGTTACCAATTAAGTCTTTTTAATTGTTTTTATATAAATTATAAGTGTATGTATATACTTATTTTAATAAAAAGAAGGAATAAATATGAAGTACAATTTGATATATTTACGCAATGGCAGTGTAAATATTTTGTTACTAATTGTTTACACTGATTCATTATGTAATTGTACAATGTAAGAAATCACATACTCTGCAATTAGTACAACGAGTTATACATTTATATTTATAATTTAATTTGTACCTGTTTTCTGTACAATAATAAAACTGATAATATATTTACGGCCATATATGCAAGTAATATTAGTAAAGCTTTTAAATGACTTACATATAATGTACGTACTAACATATTAATACCTCCAGTCATTAAGTTTGACAATAAAAAGAAAAGTAGACCATTGTAATTCACAGCTTCAAATATTTCAATGCTATTTTTATTTGCATTTTTCTGGCATTTATCAGGCATTTTATCTCGTTTGCTTTTTGTATATGTTTTGTATGATTTTGTTTTTTTTTGATTATGTTCTGAATCCATAGTTACATAAACTAATATATCTGATATTATTTCAATCAATAGCAATAACGTAAGTACCATGACACCTAAAGTTAGAATCCACATGCAATATCCAGCATTTGCTAACCGTCTAGATACTTTAAAATATGCATCACAGATTAAAGTGGCTGCACATGTCTGAGCTGATATCAAGGATAATTTAATACATAAAATCATAGACTCGTTATAATTTATATCAAGCTCATATCCAAATAATTTAAACTGAAATGTTTCATGTTTATGTTGTAACAAATTTTGAGCGTGTGAATTCTGATATGTAGAATGAATCAATCTACCAACTGCCACACCTATTAAATAAAGCCCAACATATCCAGGTACAGATACTACACCTTCCCGATTAGCAGATACAAAATCATTTCTTGGTCTATTACTTAAAACCCATTCCTTTAATCCCTTGGTACTTAAAACATATTCATGCATTCCTAAAATCCAAATTCCTGATAATAATGAATACCTTGAATTGATAGTACTTGTTATAGAACTAGTAAATAATTTAACAAAAGCAAGAGTTATAAAAAAATTCCAATGAATGCCATATTCAGTGACATGCTTTTGATAACCTAAAACTTCAATGGCAACAGATCTGCCAAAACCTAATATTAAAAGTGGAATGCAACTTCTTGCAGAGTGCTTTATATTTTTTGATATAGTATGGAAGAAACCTATCCTAGGTTTAAGAGCAAAATCTTTAGCTTCTGGAGCCACTACAGCATTAGCTAATACAAATAACCCAACACCAGTATCCATTAAACTATATCCAAATAATTCAGTTTTTGCAAACTTGCGAGGAAATATGTGAAAATCTATAGCTAATATACATATCGCTGTTATTATATTAGTCAATGCTCTGAAATGTGTAACAAAAGGCCTTTTACCATAAATAGGTCTTATATTGTATGTTGGCGTTATATCAGAATTAATTCCTAATAATAAAATATTAATTATAGATATTAACATCATGATACAACATACTGTAACAACATAGTCAGATAATATAGTACAACACAAAATAGATGGTATTACAATTAATGTAAATTCTATTATAGTCCTAATATTTTTATGGGCAGTCTGTTCTAAAAAGCCCATTGTAGTTGTAGTTAAGAGAATACTACAACAACTTGGCAAGATTGCATATATAACCTCTATGGAAGTTGTCCCACCATGACCAGAAACAAATGCTTCTTGTTCTTGGCGGTAAATATTTCTATTCCATGTATCTGACATGTTTATATAATGATTATAATTATTTCTTAATAATTAATTATAATAATCATTTCTCTCAATGAGAAATCTGCAAAAAAAATATTATTTATTGATAATACAAAATAGTATGATTTTCTGAGAATTTGAACTTACTTAAAAGAATATTATTTGAATTTCTACTTCGAAGTATTGCATTTTATACAAATTAAAGTTTGAAAATAATTTAAGTTAATCAGAAGTGTATTCACGCATGTTGTAAACTCAGTATGTCATAGATGGAGCTATGAACTACAATTTAACTGTCAACTTAGAACCAAAACCAAACTCAAAAAACGAAACATTTTGAATATGAATATCTTTGGTTATACATATGTATATGGTTAATTTCGATGTAAGGTTTGACTAATAAATTATTTAAATATTATGAATTGATTGAAAATAATAAAAAAATTCAAATTTTAACAAAAATAATAATGTAACGAATAATGATGCACAAAAATCTGATTATATTGTGTCCAGTATGTAGCAAAGATTAAGCTATAGAATAGTGTATAGAAAAACTGCAGAGCATTATATTAATTTATGTTTTTGCTTTTTTAAAGGAAATCAAAGTAACATCAAAGAGATTTCTTTCATGCGAAAATATTAGTGAAAAAAATCCACCAAAGAAACACAAAGCCAATACAGCAATTAGTATAACAAATATGAATCAACAGACATCACCTCATAAAGAATTTATTTCCCTTTCTGAAAAAATGAGGCCTATATGCCTTGATGACTATGTAGGACAAGAAAAAGTTATTGGACCTCGTACAGTATTAAAACAATTATTAATGAAGGGACATGTTCCTAGCATGATATTTTGGGGTCCGCCAGGATGTGGAAAGGTAATACATAAATTTTCATTACTTTTCAGTTATTGTTAATATTTATTCTTGTTAATATTTTTCTCAAAATATTTTTTAGACATCTCTAACTAATGTTATATTAAAGCTGAGTAAAGAAATACATGGAAACAAAGTGCATGTTATAAATCTTTCTGCAACATCTTCTGGTGTGAGTAATATTCGAAATATTGTTAATACATCAAAAACAAAATCAATAAACAATCAAATCATTATATTTATGGATGAAATACATCATTTTAATAAATTGCAACAAGATATTTTTTTACCACACATTGAAGCAGGCACATTTACATTAATTGGCACAACTACAGAGAATCCATCTTATAGTTTAAATTCTGCTTTGCTAAGTAGATGTCGTGTATTTGCTTTAAATAAATTAACAGTACCAAATATTATGGAAATTCTTTGTAAAGCAGTTTCATTTATTAATGGGGAAATACATAATTCTCCACAATCAACTAATTTAAGAAATATTTTAAACAATAGTTCCAAAGCACGTTTTTCAATTAATAAGATGGTACTTAATTGGTTAGCAGAGATATGTGATGGAGATGCACGTGTTGCATTAAATAGTTTGGAATTGGCAGTTAAAAATAAAATATCATATGAGATAAATCCTGTTTCAATAACTCTCGAAGATGTTAAAGAAAGTCTCAAACAAGTACATACATTATCTGATAAACAAAACAATAATATTCATCATTTATACTCTGCTTTACACAAATCGATAAGAGTTGGAAAACAAAATGCATCTTTATATTGGTTGGCACGGATTATGGCAGTTAAAGAAGATCCAGTGAATATAGCAAGAAGATTAATAAGAATAGCAAGTGAAGATATTGGTTTAGCGGACCTTGATGCTTTAGGTACATAAAACTATCTACAAAAATCTTAATGCAATTTAATGCACCTGACAATGCTATTTGTATATATAATATTGTATAATAATTTATTTTTAAATATAAATAGTAGTAAAAAATCTTTAATAATTTTGAAATAAAATTCTGTAATATTTAATTTCAAGTACAAAGATTTTGTGGATAAATTATATTATATTAGACGTAATATCATAATGAATGATATAAGAATATATATAAATAAATAAGAATTTTGGATTCTAGGCATAGCTGTTCATACTACTTATGGATGCCAAATGATTGGAATGCCAGAATGTGATGTGATTTTAGCACAGTGTGTTGTATATTTAACTAGAGCACCAAAATCTCAACTGATATATAATGCTTTTAAATCTGCTGAAAACATAATTGCAAAATACGAAGGTCCACAACCTGCAGTACCATTACATATCAGAGATAAATCAAAACAAGAAAAACTTAGTTATATTTTTGGTAAGATACTAAAATATTAAGATATCAAATATTTAATATACATTATCTTATCTCATTACTTATTATAGGACAACATAAAGAAAATTCATTTCATAAAGAAAAAATTAGTACTTACTTACCATTTGGCTTGCAGAATGTCAACTTCTTCTTGGAATGTTGAATTCTCTGTTCTATTGAAGATACTTGTTTTACCTACGCAAGACAATTGAACAACAATTTAAAATTTGCATAATTTACAAAAAAAATTACGACTCACCTTACAAACAGACATCAACATTATGACACCATCGTATGACACAGCCAAATTAAATTGAAATTATTTATCTGAAGTTAATAGAGAAACAAGAATAACAATTTTCAAAGGATAAAAAGTTACAATTTGCAGCTTTAACGAAAAGATTTTCGAACAAAACTCAACGTGACCACCTCGTCCGAACACGTTTGAATTAAGTAGATGCACCGCCTAACGATCGACCAATCAGATTGACTGAAGAAATTAGCAAGAAAATTGGCCAATCAAATTCAAATGAAGAAGTTATTTAAAAAAGTCAACCAATCTAATTGAATTGGAAAAAATATCATTGGTTAATGTAATTAATTATTGTTGTTAATTATTTTATGTAATATTAAATAATATTAATTTTTATGTAAATATAAAATAAAATAAAAGAACAAATTTTTAACATAATTATTTATATAAAAATATATAATATTGGTTTATAATCGTGATAGATACATGTATATATGATTCTGCGTAATGTTTAAAATACGAGTTAAGTAAATATAGAGTAAAAGAAGGAAAAATTAATATAACAGTTGTTTCAATAACAATAAATATTTTATTATTATTTATATTATCATATATATATTTATGTATGTTGGATTTAATACAGATGAATATTCGGTAGGACTGAAATCAAAAAAAGGAACTATATTATATTTATTATTAAATGTAAATTAAGTGTAATTTGATTCAGTACGTTTGAATAAATAATAAGAAAATAGTTCAAAATAATTGACCAATCAGATTGAACTGAAGACAAGCTCATTGGCTGTTAGAAACAGGGCTACCAACTTTTGATGGATCAATACACAATGAAAGATTAGAATTGAAGACCTCTTTTTACGTTACGTCAGATTTTGGAGTTAGTAGACGTACATTGTATTATAACAGTGCAATGTTTCCATGTGATTGTTAATAATTTAAATTATAGTGTTAGTCATACGTTACATTGAAAAATTTCACAAATATGAAGTTGTGGACGTCGCATCATACTTTTGAGTAAGTATATTTCATGGAAGTTTATTCATTTGTAACTTGATGAGTAGAATGTAGAAATGCTTTGTGACATCCTTTTGCCTGTGCGACATGAAATATTTCTTTGTTTTTTATGATTGTAGTCATCCATGGGAAACAGTTGTGAAAGCAGCATGCAGAAAGTATCCAAATCCTTTAAATCCTCATGTTTTGGGAACAGATGTCATCGATAGAAAAGTCAAAGATGGTGTCCTTTATTCTCACAGATTGGTCAGTTCCCAGTGGCGTTTTCCTAAATGGTTAACACAGGTAATTATTGCAAACAATAGTTCTGAAGGTCATTCATCTTACGTAGTGATGGGTGTAACCTTTCCAAAGAAGAAAGTTATTTGCAATCAAAACATAATGTAGTTGAACATAAATGTAGTGAATACTACAATGAATTTAATCTTAATATTATCATTATTTATAAATATGTATTTGTTTTTTAACATATTGTCATTGAAGTTTGATAATCTGGTTTATGTTGGGTGTGCTGCAATGTCTATACTAAACTATGTTACTAATATATTACTAATAGAATTTATATATTACTGATGCAAAGATAATTGATTGTTTATAAATTTTATCTTCTTTTAAACACTAAACATTTAAATTCTTGAATATTACATATAAGTAAAAAATCAATCTTATTATTTTTATTACTTTTCTATTATTGCATTATATTATCAAATTATTTTACTTTGTATTATATTATTGTATCATTACTTTTATTTTCCTTTAACATGCTTTAACATTTTAACATTTTTATTTTACATAAGAAAATAGAGATATCCATATAGTTTAAAGCTTAAATTCTTATTTTATGATGCATAGTAGAGATTACTTATTAATTCTTATTTTATGATGCATGATAGAGAACAAAATCACATGTTTGAAAATATTCATTTATTTCAATTATCCTTTGTCAGGTAGTTGTTTGTTTGTTTGTGATGCATGACTAATTGCTCAATTAAAATTTCATTTGTCTTGAGATTGACAAACCTTCCAGCATATTCGTTTTAATTCTTACAGTTACCACATTAGCGCTAGTGTTGAAGAAGATCATTGATAATAAATTTTATTGACTGATGAAAGTCTGGGAGTTAAAGAAAAGAACATGTGTTAAGCTTGATAAAAAAATTATCCACGGTTCTGTTTATCAATTTTAATCATACTAGATGTAGTACAAAATTATTCATGTATTATCTATCTTTATCGGAACGATATTTTCATTCCCCCTCTATATTTAATCGCGAAGAATTTCTCTTATTAATTTAAGAATAATTTTAAATATCAAAGAGTTGTAGATATATTTGCAATTGCATTTATAGTATAAGATACATACAATGTCACGAGTAATTACGTCCGTGCATACGTAAAGAAAATTGGCGAAATGCCGCTCGATGCAAGTTAGGAAGATATGTTTATACTTATATAATTCATCATTTTCGTTAGTTAAAAGTAATAGATTTACATTTGTCGCGTACAAGGTCTTCGTTACGTTACTTCTACTTTTTAAATAAGTAGATTATGCATTTCTATAATCAGACGTCGGTTAACCCTCAATTAGATAACTGTTACATAACTGGCTTAGTAACAGTGATCCTGATACAGTAGAAGCGTCCATATTAATGCCAGATTAGTCTTTTTTTCTAGAAACTATTATACAAAATGCTAGATAAATAACTGTAGTCATTCTTCCTACTATGTATTCAGCTTCTCAGTATTAAAAAGTACTTTTCATATATTTCAATCTTATCTGCATAATATCCATTTACCCAAACAATGGAGTTTATGCCAAAGTTTGGAGATGGTAAGAAATCAATCTACACAGAGTTATAATTATGCATTCCTTCTTTACTGGGCAGCAGTTTATAGACAAAACAGTTCGTTGCCGTTTGACCAAGCAATCTATACAAACAGCGGCAGTAGCTAGCAGCAAATTCGAAACTTTCGACAAGAGCAAGAAGAAGGTGCAGAGCAAATTCAGGCTCGAGGCTAGAGAGAATTACAAAACAACGACACCAACCGTATCAACTTTCATAATGAGTACTCCCACCAATGTTATGCTCTTTGGCAATCATCCAGCTAGGCGCCTGCGTTGTGGAGCGAGGCCACCCTTAGAGCCTCTCTCCTCATCCCTGTTTCTTCTCCAGCTAATGGGAGATTCGAGCTTCGAATCCTTTTCGGCTCGGCGAATTGCTTCCTTTCTCAGGATTTTCTATAAGCTTGGCCATTTCGCAAAGCCGTCCTGTTGTGCCGGCTCTCTCGCTCGAATGCCTCGAATCACCGCTTCATATATAACGAATGCACAGCAGGTGGAATGGAAAGAGAGGAAAGAGGAAGAAAAGTATCGCCTTTGCGTTTAGGCACTCTTGAAATTACTTGACGGAAGGGAAAGTGCAAAGCCTCGTTTCAATTTGAATTAGCTGCCTCCCCTCTGTTCCGTCTTTATTTTTTATTATTTTCTTTCCTCTCTCCTCCATTGTTCTGCACCAGAGGAACGAATTTGTCGAACCGACTGCTGCATCGACGAAAATTTCTAACTAATTAACAGATGTAACTAACAAGTAGCATTGGATGTGTTCGAATAGTAATAGATACGGGAATGACTTTATGAATATGTGACTGGGTCACGCAATTATAATGTAATTAATCAGAATATAATTAATTAGGAACGAATAGTAAGTCATAATAAATACATGTGCCTTGATTTTGTGAATCTAGCTTCCGAATTAATTTCGTATATTTTTATGCAAATGCTTGTTGGGTTTTTATATTGAGTCGTACTTTTCATTGTACATGTAATGCTTGAAGATTCAAAAAACATCTTTATCAGGTATCTTTAACATGCCATTTTATAAATAACGTAATTACTTGATCGATTGTAATTTGTATCCTTTGATGAATCTTCATAGGAAAGAAGTCTATTTATTCTGGTTTTAGTTCTTCGGTCATCAAGGACCATACTATGCCAGCGAATGGAGTGAAGTAAATCCAGAAGCTAAAGAAATGGTAGTCAAAACAGTAAACGTAAGTGGAGTAATAACACTGTATATAATGTTAATTATTAGATTAATTAAATGTTTTGTAAGATTCGTGTTTATACGAGAAGGATACTTTATATTAATGGTGCGTTATCTCAATATGCAGAAACAATTCTACAATTCCACTTTCCACTTAATTTATATCGTTAATCGAAATATCATGTATAATGTTTAATCAGTCGAATGAGAACGCTCGTGAAGCATGCTTTTACGGAGATTTCATTACATTTGCTCTTTATTACTCACATATTACTCGACAAAGTACTCTGACCGCATTTGTAATTTATCTTCGTGAAACGAGATAAATGGAGGATGAATAAATCGATATTCAACGTGCAAATGTTTTGCACTTCGCATTGGATCGTTGAATCGTATTATCTATCGTATCGATCTAATTGAAACGAATAATTTGACGATAAAGTTCGCGAAAAACTCGTCTAACCGATGTTATTTTAATGTTAAACACGCACATGTTGACACAAACATTTTAATATTTCATACGATCACGAGATGCTATTCCTTTTCCATACTTGCATTAGCAATTCATTTGAACGGTGAAAATAAATTTGATGAACGAAGTGCAACCAACGCATGTACACGTATAACTGCTCGTATGCCCGTGTAATCGAACAATCAATATATTCTCAATTCCATTTGAATCGAGATCAGCAAGAGTAATTGGAAAATAGGTTGATGGAATTTCATCTGTAGAATTACATTTGGTTTTTCCGACAATCCATGCTCATCGTGTATATTTGTAACTCGTTTTATAATCGAAAAACACGCATGCGTACGTGTATTTTATATTTTGAAAAATAATTGCAGATAAAAGCGACACCCCGGCCTTTCTATTCTTTTTTACGGAAATATTTATCACGGAGGAAAATTATAGACGAGTAGAGTTTTCGCTTGAAGTACCAGATATATTTACTCGAGTTACAAGCACGAAGAGATCGGCACGTCTTAGAGTCTGAGAGTGTAGCATCGCATCGCATCGCATCGCATCGCATCGTATCTAGAAGGTTGGATATGATAGGTTATTGATGCGCGCATTACCGGGAGTTGCATAGCTTCGTGGTCTCTTCGGAGGGACGTGCCAGGAGGGTTTCAGGAAGACAGGGCGGAAAATGGCGAAGGAAAGGAAATCGAAGCATTGCTCTCTTCAACTACGCGTTGAAGATCGTTCGCTTGCCTCCTTGCTCGATTCTCGGTCAAAAAAAAAAAAAAAAAAAAAAGAAAGAAAGAAAGAAAAAAAGAAGAAACTACGAGGCTAGATGCATTACAGGTATGATGAACGATCCGCAGGTGGCTCCGTGTAAAAGGTACAGCCTTTTCATCTGCAAGGAGTTGCCGTCGCGTCGTCAATCGTTTTTACCTATCGAGTCTCGACACAGGAGTATCGGGTATTTAGACGTACACAAATTTATACACGGAGATGCTTTTACTGACGTGGAAAAAGCATGTTTGTTTTTCATAGGTGAAGTATCGCGGCTCTCTTTGGAAAGTAGCGTAACTCGGCAAAAAAGATAGAACATTTTTTAGTTAGAGAAAACATTAGGAAGTTTTATTAAAATATGAATATTGAAATGCGTGCAAATTCGTAAGTTACTTGTTTGTGTGGAATATTAATATTGTGTGGAATACTGAAAATAGCTACCGCCTGCCTATTTATCAGCTATTTTATGTATAATTTTGCTGTTTGCCTCTATACATCAAGTATGAAACGTAAACGGCGGCTATCGTGAAACGAGATATAACACGGATACGTGCGCGATACGTGCTCATTGCCTGAATAGCTCGTATGGATACATAACAAGCCTCGCACAGTTCCTTTAACGTTATTAATTATTTAAAAACAGCATACATTTCGAAGCGTTATTGCATAGCGTCCGGAGGTAGTAAATTTCTAAAAATGGAGTTTATATTATGCAGTTGCGCTGCAATGAATTCCCAGAAGTAATCTCGGAGACCCCGAACAAAATATGTCATTGTTAAAACGTTGCACAAACGAATATAAAAATGATTCAAGATTTAATGTAACAAGAAACCATGCAAGGACGTACATGTTAGAAATAAATGGACGTATTGGAGTAAGTAGAAGAAGTCGTTCGTGGTCGTGGCACGCTTGAGTCTTTCGTGTTGCGTGATGTACGCAAGTTGGCTCATTTTTGACTGGACGTTTACTCACTAACATTTGTTACTAAAGCAAATGTACGTAAACTTATGGATCAGTCCAATACATCAACGTACGGTGAAATAGCGTCACAAGTAGCGGGATACAAACGTGGAATTTCCTCGTCACGCGGGTCGTTCGTCTTGTAAAGTACGCAGGATATCCACGGGCATCTACGTTCGCGATTCTCGACGTCCTCTTTCCCGCTGTCGTCTTTCCAATTAAGGTGAGACGGCACCAGGAAACGTCGTGTGATATTTCCTCGTTGATCGTCCCACGCTTGCGTAATCTACGCCGAGGGCTAGAGGTGGGCTTCAACTAAAATTGAACAATTCCCGGCGGGATGTCAACGCTTTCTCCGCTTATGCCCGGACTGTTTGGCGACTGCAAGCACGAGCACGCGTATCCCGGCTACGTTCTCTGTAACATTGAAACCCGTACGCACCGCGCGGACAAACGAACATTGTAGAGAAGCGTACCAGAGGCAATGTATTCTACATAAGCTCGAGCAGACTCTGGCCCAGGTTATAACCTATCCCCGTCGAATCCCAAGGGGGAGATATCTTTTAGCAATTTACCCGTGCTCGTAACAGGCCGTGCTGCATACGTTACGCGGGATGCATACGTATCGTACCGCCGCTTGGAACGTAATGCGGCATCGTATCGTTGAACCTAAACGCATCCGGCGTGTATGCATCGAGTACAAGCTGAACATAATGGGCTTGAACCTCTCCAGTGTTGCCACTGGTCAGACTATTGGCCGGTCACTACATATTTCGGAGTTGATTACGAATTCAGAGAGATCGATCTTTCGAAAAGATACTCGATCTCGGATCGTTTCCGATGCGCTGGCAGGGATCGTGCCAGCGGAACTGTAAATATCGTAACATTGTGGAGTCGCGTACCGTTAATCTAAAACAATGCTTGCATTTGCGCCCGGGGGATCGCGTTGCAATGAATACAACGGATCGACAGAAAAAAAAAAAAAAAAAAAAA